GGAAAAATTCTTCATGCATAGTTCTTTCTCATAAATTTAATTCCCTCAACAGGTTTTGTCATGCAGAGATGCCTTCCTCTTCAGGAATCAGCTCTATCTTGTCCCCATGTAGCTCGCAAAAACTTGGGATATTGTTTCTGCACATTGTTTTCTTTCGGAATTTCTACTAATTTTGCAGGTCCTATGGAGGCAGAGTAAGTTTTAGCTGTACTTGGTGAAACTCCCATGTGGACTTGTTAAAGGTGTTTTGTGAGTTAGTGAATAAGGCAATCTGGATCATTGGAAAGCCTCCAGGACACCTCTACAACCTGTTGCTTTACTGAATAGATAACTCATAAAGATAAAGCATTACCTGATTGCAGACAGGTCATTTTGATTTATCTAAGGTTCATTAAAACTCACCCAGGGTATTTTGAGCTATACAGAACAATGCCAGAGTACTCTTTTACTAGCAGCTAGATGTGGTGAAACATAGACTGAGACAGAAAGCACTTCCTTCAGCACTTGTCACCTGCCAAAACCGAGAAGTTTATATAAATGCAAAAGGAAGACACTAAATGCAGGTGCTTCCCCCCTTCCCTGCCCACCCTGCCTTGATGGCATCAAAGTCAACAAAAGAGACAAATGTCAATTTGGTGAGAATCAAAGTAAAATAAGATTTTTTCTGAACTTTTCTTCATCTTCTATATCTTGTTTGAAAACTTATCTCAGATTTTCTCTCGCAGAGTGCATGGGAAGGATGCATATGCATTTCCTCATGAGAAATTTGGGGTGCAGGGTGTCTGACTCTTCCTTCTTCAGGAAAAATAATGTTTTTTTAATGAATTCACCTCAATTTCTGGATGAAATACAAAAAAAACCAAACAAAAAACCCCAAACAAACAAACAAACAAACAAAACCCACAAAAACCAAACCAAACCAAAACAAACAAACTAAAAAAAAACCACACACACACAAAAAACCAAACCAAAACAAAAAAACCCTGAAAGTACCCAATCTTTTCTGACCTGCACTGATTTTTGACATTTGTAAACATTTCATGAAGTCAGAGATAATGAATTCAATTACTGGCTGGCATTTAACTTGCCCATGTTTTTTTGGACAAGACTTCTGTAGCAAACACCAGTAGTTTTGTCTGCAAAGTCAGCACTCTTACTTTTCCTAATTTGTAACTTAATTCTAAATGGCAGAAAAACATTGGGTATTTTGCCGAAATGTTTAAATTTGGAAAAGCAACATTGATCAAAGTAATTAGAAACAGAGAAAAAGATAAAAAGCTTCTGTTAGTGACTATACTTGTATATTTTTAGAAATATAATAACTGAAATTTCTTTATGAGACTGAACAGCCTGGAATTCCTAAGTGAAATCAATTAAACCAATATTGGAATAGAATGCCGTAAATCATTTTATATTTAATCTTTCAAATGGATATATAGTGTATAATAGAACTTATAAGTAATTTGATTTAGAAAAATATATTTGGTTATACTCTGGTGGTACAACACAAGTTTGACATAGAATTAAATAAAACCAATATTTATTTCTTGTTGGTTTCTATGATCAACACATTAAGACAAAATGCATGGCATAATGAAATTTCTATAACCATGGAAAGCACAAAAGAAGCTGTAATGTATCATAGTATGATGTGCATGTGAATGGTTTCAAAGCACATTTCATTCACTTCATAGCAAGGGTAATACTTTCTAGAGAGACTGGCTGGGGATTGGACATTATTGCTGTGTTTTTCAAGAATATTTGATGTTCTGTTTTTAAGGCAGTTCCACGGTATAATGACCGGCCAATGAAGCAATCAAATTCTGCCTATTTTTGGAAATCTCCTTTTGGCTTCATGATTTGTTGACAAGGGCTCAGTGTTCTGCAAGACACAGCTCATGCCTGGTTTTGATAGGAAAAGATAAATTTGTGGTTGTATAAGTATGTAAGATTTTACACAGGAGGCAGAATGCTCCTTTTCACAAACTGCACTGCACCTCACAAACCCATGCTAAATCAGGATGCCACACAGTGTGCCTGTGATCATGGCTTTGGGAAATCTTCACTGTTCAAAGGAAAACCAGCAATGCTTCATTTTCTTACCAAATGGCCATTCAGAAATGGATGACTATGCAAACTTTTGTTGGAAGCCAACTACAAAAAAAAGTCCCTGCAACATGGGACTAGTGATCACCAAGATCCAGAGCCTTAATTGGATGTTGGGTTCAACAGGTTCCTCTTTGGCCTGCTCAGAAAATAGGAACAGAATTTGAATGTTGCAGAAGATACAGTCCTGCTATTCTGTTACACACTGAAATGCCTCTCTAAATTCATCTCCAGGTTATATTTATATACCATCATAACTTAAGAACTGCAGTTTTTATTGAGATGGTCCCATCCTTCCCACTCTATCAGCTCAGGGAGTACTATTGAAATTTCTAGTTAAGGTCCCTGATGACAGAGCATATTTTTCTATGCTGCTACTACTGGTTAATAGTTCCATACGAAAGTGTGAATCTCTCTTCAGATGCTGCATTAGTTATGTATATGGATACACAGAAACTTGTCATAAAGGGTAGAATTTGAATGTTGCAGAAGATACAGTCCTGCTATTCTGTTACACGCTGAAATGCCTCTCTAAATTAATTTCTAGGTTATATTTATATACCATTAATAACTTAAGAACCCTGCAGTTTTTATTGAGAGGTCCCATCCTTCCCACTCAATCAGCTCAGGGAGCACTATTGAAACTTCTAATTAAGGTCCCTGATGAGAGAGCAAGTATTTTTCTATGCTGATACTGCTGGTTAATAGTTCCATATGAAAGTGTGAATCTACCTTCAGATGCTGCATTAGTTACGTATCTGGATATACAGAAATTTGTCATAAAGGACTCCCTCCTTTCCTAAATCCCACACCTTACACCTCAACATGTCTGAGAAGTGACATTGTTCAAATATATATGAGCCTCAAACATACCTTGTGCTACTCAGGCATGAGGAGGTGTGAAAAGGTATATAGTTATATTTTAAGTACTGTTTCATTTGCTACTGTCCTTTCCTTGACAGTCAGGCAGTGAGAAAATGGCCAGAGAGAGATGAAGTGGAAGAAACAGAGGAGAGTAATTTGATGTTTTAGGAAGAGGGCACTCTGACCAGACAGATCAGCAGAGACTGAGCTGCAGTTTTCTGCAGAAGGATCTTGTCCTTTCACTTCCTGCAGTTACACCATGTCCTTATCACTCATAGAAAGCAAGATTACAATTTGCCCACTCAACCACATGCTATGTGTTATTTTTAACCTACCATATAAATGGCATCTGTCTTTTTTAATCCTGATGGTCAGCTTTTCAGATAACAGGAAACAGTATAGCTACTTGTTAGTGTAGAAAATATATTTCCTGTCTACACAACCAAAAAAAAAAAAGGGAAATTTTCCCATGATTTCAGTGTGGGTAAAGTTTTAGAACCTTAGTGTGACAAGGGAGAATAATAAACAAAAATAGGGGAAGGAAGGATAAGATAAGGGATGATGATGGGCCACACAGTCTTATATATATCTTGTTTCTCCTTTTTTGTTTGGTTGGCTTCTATTTTTATTAGTCTGTTGTTTATGCTTTCTAAAATAGTGTTCCTACAAATACAGCCATTGCTTCCTTCAAACTCTACCACGAAGACTGACAGGAGGTTTGTGAGAGGAACAAAGAAGGCATGCAAATTTGCCTTATTTTAACATTGCTTATTACCTAGCTCCTTCCTTAATTTCAAAAGAAGATGCATTTCTGCAATTCATACAACTCTGAATCTAAGCTGTGCTGGAGTCCTAACTTCTGAGATGCTTTTTATTTTCACAGCAGTTGGAGGTGCACAGCATGGACTGGATCCTTGGAGATTGCTTCTGGTGATGTTGTTCTCATTTGTTTTGTCACAAGGATGCGTCATTACTCAGAAAAGATTAATCAAAAACGTTTGCCTGAAGTAAATCCCTTAGTTATTTCCATGCGTACACTTTAAAAAAACTTTATATATGAGATTAACATTTATTCAAGACAAGAGTTCCTGGCCATAGGGGAAAGTAAGAATTCTCTTGGATGGTGCTGTAGCATCAGGTCCATGACAAGGGCTCAGCTCCACCAGGAACTAACTAAACAAAACCATTGACCAGCAATCCTTCCTGGCACCTGCCAATTAAAAGCAATCTTTTCTTTGGATTATAAATCATTTCCATCTACTAAGTCCTACTTCACAAAGTGCATTTCCAAGGGTCCTTCAGTTCCTAAAGCTGTCAACACATGTGACTTCGGCAGCTGAGATCTGATGCCCAAGAAGTTTTACATGCTAATTTAAAATGAGAAGTTGGTACTTCTGCTGAGTCTTTAGACATGTTCTAATATAGCTGAGACAGAAAGGATCCCAGTTCCTGAGATATCCAGACAATTTCTATTTTTGCATAAGAAATATATTCAAAATAATGATGATATGTTCTTTTTATTGATCTCTGTAGTACAGTTTCACTGAGCTAAAAGCATCCTTAAGGAACTTACATGTGCTTGCTGTACAAGACTAGTAGAAAGAAGCTGAATTTACCAAAGTTTCATTAAGAAATTCAATCTCCCATCAAACTAACACATATTTTGATATATGATGTAATTTTAAAAAAAAAGGAAAAAAAACAAACTCCGAGAGATTTAGTTAAACTCCCTCCAAAAATTTAATGGTTTTTTTTAAGAATTACTGTATCAGCTTATCTAGTGAAAAACACACCAAAAAAACTAAGACAAAAAAGTCTTTGGATTCTTTGCATAATTCTCCAGAATATACTTTAAATATCAGTGAGTTTCTCTGATGGTAAACTAAATTGTAATTCAGCATTATTTCATCAGGGAAAATACCTATCAGATGAGAACTGTGAACAACTAAACTTAAATATTTATTTTTAACCACAGAGGCTTTGCAGGAATCTAGACCAAAAGAATGAGAACTGTAAACCAAATTTCTTACCTCTGATGGATGTCCAGCTCTGATAAAAGTACAGAGTGGATCAAAAGCTCCTGTTCCACAAGCCAGAAGATGGGTCCTGTTGTATCGGTGAAGGACACGGATGTAATTTGCACATTCATCCTAGTTTACATAAAAAATAAACATGGGGAAATATTAGCTTTCAAATTATTTGTTTAGTATCTTGTGTGCCCAAAGGTGATGTTCTAATATTCAATCTTTCTACTCTATTTCACTTCATGTTACTAACTCTGTGCCATAAGTTTCATGGGTGGGCATTTTTATACTAAAAAAGCAAGTTTAGAGCACTGATTGATCATGTTTTGTTTTAGATGCTTAACCAGTTAGGAGTTATTAAATTATAAAAACACATTTTGTGCTTCTTTAATCATGGAGATAATCTGAAATCTGAATAGATCTTTAATATGTCTTATTGGATACATAGGACACATACATAAGATTCACAGCAGAAGATGTCAGCAAACATCTTCTCTCTGGAGTTAAATACTTTATCTCTATAAAAATATAGTTTTTAATTTAACCATTAATTTATGGCATAATAATTGTTAATCAATATTTTTAATATTGTATAGACACATACTTTGTCAGTTTTCACTGTTTAAACCCCTTTGAAAAAGAAATATTCATTTCCCCCAGGGCAATATTTTGGGACTCATTAGTGTATTTGCAGCTTCATAAATATTACAATTAAAACATTTTCAAACAGTGGGGTCATTATTCCTGTGCTAAACTAGAAATGGAGACAGTGAGATGAAAGTATCCATTGATTTTGGGACTCCTGGGACTCCTGGGATTTGGTTTTAGATTTTTTTTTTTTTTTTTGCATTTTACAATGGTTTCTATGAGCAAAATTACTGTTCATTTCAATTCATTGTTCAACATTTCTGCGACTTAGAACCCTGAGCTTTAAGAGTCACATCAAGTTTAAGACATTTAAAATGGAGATAATCTAACTAACTAACTTTAGCTAACTTTAGCTGTTCTGGCATTTAGACATGTAATTTATGTAATTCTCTCTGGCTTTTTCAATAGCCAGTGAAGTAGGCCAGACATCTCCAAAAGGCCATTAATACAATCCTGAAATGAAAATGTAAAACAGAGTGGAGAAATTTCCTTTTTTGAAAATTTTTCTCTGATAACTACTCTCATTTTTGGACTGCTGTATTTGTGTGAGAACAATCCTAGGTCTTATTAACCAACAGCAAGAATTTAATTTCAAAAGGGAGGAGTTGCAGGGAATTCACAGGCAGAATTCAACACTTGGAAATCCACATTAGGTTCAAAACTAAGAAACCATCTTAGTTCTTTTGTCAAATCCCTGAATCATTCAGTATAAGTCTTCCAAATGCTCCAGCAAATAAAAAAGGAAAGAAATCTCCCCTGCTACCTGATTCTCCTTAACTGTTCATCCTCAGGATATATCATGCTAATTCTTAGAAGTAAGTAACCTATACAAGACATAACCTGTTGTATAATTAAATATTATGCATATACAAAGAGAAAATCAACCCTTTAATATCTAACTATTGGAATTTCTTGATTTGTAACTAATTTGTTCCTTTTCTTTTTTTAAGGAAATAAAAACATAAGGTCAGATGAACTGAGAGAAGAATGGGGTTCAATCAGCAGCATGTGATCCTCCTTGTATGGATCAGCACTCAAAGACAGAGGTGTCCACTTTTTATGTTCATTTCCCAAATGTTTGCTGACTTGTGGTAGCAAAATGCTATTCCATAGGTATTTTATGATGCCATGAAGTTTTTGAACAGATGCTTTACTGTGTGCTGATGCTGTTCCTGAGTCTCCCTCCTCCTTCCTGACTTATTGCCTTTGTTTGCTCTCAGTGGTGGTCTGTTCTTTACTCCATGGTTTACTTTTTTTATCCATACACACCTTCAGCTCTTGATCTTTGTGCCAAAAATCATTTTAGGGATTTAAGATTTTTTTTAAATGGGAAAAATCTACACATTTTTTTCTCGTGTGCCTTTGTAGAAATGCCTGAAAAAAATTGCAAAAAAAAAAAACCAAACCCTAGGATGTGGAAATACCAAACATAGAAAAACATTAATTCAAAATGGCTAGACTTGCTCGTTTATAAACAGATGACAAAAGATGCTGTTCTGGGAAGTGTCAGGCAAAAAAACATTGCTGATAACCTACTAATAATGTACTTTACACAGAGCAGGGAAGAGATTCATCATCCAAGGGGACATTGAAATAAGACTTCTTTATATTATATCAATTAATTAAATACTAGGGTTGTCTTTAGGATGCTCCACAGATATAGTAATAGATCTGTGGAATTTTATTAATCTGAAACTTCTCAGTGTGGAGGAGCGAGGTATCTCTACAGAATTTGATTTTTATGTCTGAATGATTTCCGACGCTGATAAAGCAATTCAGAGTAATTGAAAACTCTCACACCACAGGCTAACAGGTGTGATTCCTGGCACACTGGATGGCAGCTGAAGGATTATTTTTTTTGCCTTCACTCAAATCAGAAAAGCATGGCTTTATTTTAAGAGTATACATTTGTTGTTAAGACAAGCCTTTTTTAATTGTACTATTAAGTCTGTTACAAGCACTGAAAATGTTTATGACTACAGTACTTGCCATTTTACTGCTACAACAGGAACTGATATCTTTTAAAGGTTATACAAGCTTGTAAAAGTGGCCAGTTCTATTATACAGAAAGAGGCAGCAAAGTGCCTGTGAAGTATTTCAGTGCTGAGAAGCTTGTTACAATATTATCAGTTCTACTTAATAATTATGCCTTGAGTAACAGATCTTTTGCAAAGGAAAATAAAAACAGAAACAGCATGGAAATAATTAAGGAAAATTTGAAATAAAGAAATAGTTTTTCTAGAGTTTCTAATGAGAAAAAGAAGCATTAAGAAATTAAAATTGACAAAGGGTTGATTTTAAGACATTATGCTATTAAGTCAATATTGGTTTATGGCTACAAAAATAAGGGTGAAAAGAAAAATAATAGGAAGATTTTTTTATTCTAATTTAGATTACTTTCAGGTGGAATGATTTATCTTACTGAATGCTGAGCAGGATGATGAAAATTACTAAAGTTTCCTTGATATTAATTGATCTCACTCATTCACATAGTCCATACCTAATTAAGTCTCATGTGAGGATCAGAATATTTTTTGGCATTACACTATTACAAAATTTTAAAATTTTAATGTTTTATTGTTAAAGACTCTACTTCTACAATCTTGTGATTATTTAAAAGCTCTGGTTTTTTCTGTAAAAGCACTAGTTACTCCAAACCTTCATGCTGCAGAGAAATGTGGGAAACACATGAAGCTCTTTAAATAACCACATTCATAGAATGCAAATTTGAGGATTTAAACAACAACTGGATTGCAAAAAGGTTTTGAGTTTTAGGGAAACGTAAGTCTGAGGGACCTATCTTTGTTTTGAAAAAACAGTACCTATTTCTGCATTTTTTAACAAAACAAATATTGTCAGAGTATCAGAAAATATGTAGTGGTGAAAGAAGGATGGTAGAGCTTTAACTAATAACAGCCAATGCTTAGAGGTAGTATCAAATAAAGGCCAAATAATTTAGGTTTGGGAATAATTTAATATGACCATAAAGTTCAGTTTAATGACCATTGTAGAAAACCACCATTTTCAACCAAAGCCACCTGAAATTATCAGGGACATAAAAGTAACCTGGAAAACTACAATGAACTCTTAAGAATCTTCAAAAAGGATCAGTTCTAGACCAGGTAAATAGGAAGAGTTGGGGTATTATTATTATGATTACTACTACTACTACTACATTCCAGTCTGGTTCCTTAATGCAGACAGTTCTCAAGCTTTTATTTCAGAAGAAATCTTTATAGCTTCTTAATTTACTGGAAATTTATGGTGGTAATTGTTGAGGTTGCTGTTTGATGTGTTTCTGGGCAAAGCTTGTATGTCCCCTTCCATGTCCTACATTCCTGTCACTGTTGCTGTAAAACTATCATAATTTTCACATCCCTTGGTTCAGTGCGAGCTCTCTCAGCTGTGGGATTTATTAGGTGTACTCTCTGTGTGTTTATGAGGTGCAGATAATGAGCTTGGTGCACTGCAAAATTAAAGAGAGCTCCCCTCCAGAAGAACTTTCATCCTGTGCTGCCAATGATATCAGCTGCTGTGTGTCAGTGAGCTTTCAAGTCTTTTCCCAGGAAATTATTACAGTCGGGGCACAAGAACAAAACAGGTCTGAGGTTCATTAAAACAGAGTATTCTTATTAATAAATAAAGAAACTTATAGGAAAATATAAAATACTGTGTATTTTATAATTATTAATAACTTAACTGCTTTTTTGAATGTATTCCAGTGGATGTAACTTTTAAAGATAAACTGGAATGTGAATATGGAGAAGATAATCTGTGCGTATGAAAAGAAAAGGACAGAGAAATGGTAAAGGAAAATTAACGTCCCTCTTTGATAGCACCAGAATAAGAATTAGAAGAAAGTTCAGGCAATCAAAAGTGTTCATTGCCTGTTTACGAGCTGGTTTGAAGAGCAATTAAACTAATAATTTAATGTGTTCACAGTACTTACATGTTTTAAACCTGCAACACTTCACTTTATATCTGTGCTTTAATCTCTCTTAAGTTAGGGATGCCTGAATCCTTGTTTTGGACCAGCCACTGGTATAATTAAAGTATATTTGATCTGTAATTAGTGATACTTACAGCATCTCTTCCTTTAATTATGCATTCTTCTGCCTGCAGAGGTGTACTAGGCCAATGGATCTGAGGAAAAAAAAAAAATGGTAGTCTGATCATGGAAATCCAGCTTTTCCATTATTTCTCATAAAGAAAGATTCTCAGATCGGAAGTACAAAATCATGGAACAGCCCAGGTTGGAAAGTTCCTCAAAAGATCATCTGGTCCAGCTTTTGGTGGGAATGGGAGCCCAGGTGAGATGATTTATAACTCTGTCCTAGACATCTTTAAATCCCCCACTGACAGAAACTCCACCACGTCCCTGGCTCCTTGTGAAGGGAGAGCCTCTTTCCTCTTTGAGATGCCACTTAAATACTTAAGTACTGGAATATTGTGACGAGTTCTCCTGAGCCTTGTTTTCCCTGAGAGAAAAGACCTTCAGTCTCTCCTTCATTGGAACACAACTGTCTTGATGAGGACAGCACAGCAAACTTACTAGTAGTCAACAAAATTTAAAGGAAGGTAATGCATGGAACATTTTATATGAATTCAGTAGAAAAATCTATGCTAAACTATCAGTGATTTTCAACATAGTTATTAATCTTGAACTACCGATTTCCTTCTTGAAGTGACACTTAGGAAAAAAACCCGCTTACAGTGAAGTTACTAAGGGTCAGCAATTAACCTTATGGGAATAGGATCAGCTCTTCACAGTCAATTAGTAGAAGTGAAGCCAAATTACACAAGCGAGGGTTTTTTTTTCAGCTATCTACTGTATAACATTTAGGTTTCATCCTAGATGCATGATTTGTTTGGATGAAAACAATATTAAACAATGACTGATCACACTGGAATGATTACTTAATTTCTTACAACATTTAAAAGTGAAAACAAAAACATGTTCACATCAGTGATATCAGGCTTGGCTGAAACTAAGTAAATATCCAAAAACTGATGTCATCATTAAGACATTTTTGTCAATAGTCCAATCAATTTTTTTTTTCTGTCTGGAAAATATTTATAAATTAAATTACTTTGCCTGTCTTAGTTTTATTGAAATAATTTTGAGAAAATGATGAATTATTGAATATTAAGAAAACTTAATTGCAGACAAGTGGGGATAAATTATTAATCGTACATTTGTGGGGCTTGAAAGTAAAAGACACAGTTCCTTTTAATATCTTCCTTAACTAATTGAATGTGGAAATTAAAGAAATACTAATTAAATTGGCCAATGGCACTGAAATGGAAGGAGCTGTTGACTCTCTTGAGGGCCAAGGCACTGCAGAGACCAGGACAAATCAGAGGGCTGGTCAATCACCAACTGTATAAAGTTTAACAAGGGCAAGTGCATTCTGCACCTGGGACAGTGGCACCTCACTGCTGTGTATGGATCAGGGAATGAGAGGCTGGAGAGCAGCTGCAGAAAGGGACCTGGGTCTCCTGGACAATGGCAAACTGAGTGAGTCAGCAGTGCCCTGGCAGTGTGTAGGTCTCACACCATCTAAATCCATGTTAATCAGAGCATCTGTTTTCAGTCAGATGGTCTTACAGTTGTCTATGAGTGATCAAAATTACTCTCATCTAGTCTCTACATTGCTGCTGTATAGTCTGGAAAGGTACCTGGACTCTGCTGAACTCCCTTGAAGGCTCTCATCCAGTCATCCTGGTCAGACCATTCCTGGTTCATTTATTGCCAAACTCAGGCTCCACAGTCATTTGTTTTAGTCATTGGTCAGGAATTGAATGAAGCCCGTCCTAAACCCAAAAAACCTAGATCTCTAAGATCTCTTGAGGCTCAAAAGTATGAAAACATAGCTTTCACTTCCCAAAGACACGTTCTAACTAGCAGGCTAAAATGAGAGGTTTTGCCTACACCAGGTGTGGGTGGCTGTTAGGAACAGAGAAACCACAGAGGGAATAAAACACTTGACTCTGTAACCTGGTATTAAATACACTTTGTGTAGGTGATTATTTTGGCATTTGGAGACTAAGTCCCAGTGCTGCTGAAAATACTTTGTATGTACATTTTCCACTTAAGATATACTGAATTAAATACATATACAGAATTAAGAGAAAAAAGCCAAAGAGGTAACCTAATGCTCCTGCTTTGTCTGGAATGTCAAAAGGCAGCTGCAGTGGGGCTACATAAATTTAGTCCTTGGCACAGAAAAAAAGAATAGACCATGGAGTTGCAGAATGGTTTGGGTTGGAAGGGACTCTTAAAGACCAACTAGTGTAACCAGCTGCTATAGTCAGGGACATCTTTCACTGTTGCTCAAGGCCCCATCCAGCCTGACCTTGAACAGTTCCTGGGATGGAGCATTCACGGCTTCTGTGTGGCAAACTGTTCCAGGGTCTCACCATGTTCATAGTTAAGTTCTTCCTAGTATCTAATCTAAATCTACAGTCCTTTATTTTAAAACCTCTGTCTCTTGTCCTGTCACTACAGACCCTGAGAAAACTCTCTGTCTTTTCTGTAAGGCTCCTTTACAAATTGAAACTCCAGCATAAGGTTTCCCTAGAGTTGTCTCTTCTTCAGATTGAATCCCAATTCTCTCAGCCCGTCTTTATAGGAGAGATGTTCCAGCCCTCTGAATATTTTTGTGGCCCTCCTCACAAAATTACTGGCTTCTAAGGCAAGTCCATATTCATTGCCTGAATTGCATGGGTCTGAATTATAAGTCTAGTAATAATATATGTCTCCTGAAGGAGTTGTTCTATCCACAAATTATTTTAAAAACTCATAACTCTTGCAAGGCTCTTGAGTTTTAACATAAATAAGTGTTACTATTTTAATATCTTCAAAAGTATTTTAGAATTGAGACTAAAAAATCTCTGCATGTCAGATTTTGCTATCATACCAAATTTAAAATTAGCATAACATAGGATATGTTTGCACTGCATGAAAATCCAGATATTAATCAGCTGCAATGGTAGTCTTTAACCTGCCATGTATTATTTTTCCTGATGTTTATGTTTAAGAGGTGTGACAATTATCAGCCTTAATTTTTAGTTGGTTCTCTGATGGGATTACAATCATTTGGCAAGCTATCAAAAAGTATTTTAGGAAATCTGCCTGGGTATATAGAGTGTATTAGCATTATACTGGCATACATCTCACTGAGCTGCAGTCTGGACATAACTATTGGCTTGAACATAATTTTTCAAAATTTTTCACCACTTCAGATAACTGAATGAAATTTTAAAATTGCTTGGTTAGTGATGTTTTCTCCTATCATACCACAGTATTCTCATCCTTGACTTCGATGATGTAATTTTTGCTCTGTAAAGGGTAAAACACTGTAGGGAAAGATATTTTTAAATATACTCATCATGGGAAAAAAAAAATGAAGGTGTAAGAAAGTACAGATATGGGGAAAACTTTAATTGGAGCTGGAATGCTAATTAGTGTCTGCAAACATCCTCTCCATTCAGCCACTAGCCTTAAAAAACAGGATGGTATCTATACTGAAAACTAATTTAAAGAAATTATATGAGCTTTATAGCACTCAGGCCAAAATAGACTACTGTGTGTTCTAGTCTGAACTCTAATGTGTGACAGGACAATTTAGCAATTCTACCAGCCTGTCTCCAGTTTGAGTCAATAAACAGTGCTTAGTTAACAACTAACTTGTGCTTGGCTGAAATATAATTTCTTTAAAAATATCTGCTGATGACTGAATATTGTATAAATTTATCAACAAATACATGGTCACCTTCCCTCTTGGAAGGTTATTCCAATGGATAATTGAAGTCACTAAATTGTGTACTTATTGCAGTTTAGATTTGTGCACATTCCTACACAGTATTCAAAGAAGACACAAGCAAGCCGTGATCTTGGAAACCTGTGTTCAGCCAGCTCTGGAGTGAAGTAGAGCTTCACTAGAGGCAAGATATATATGATGAGGTCTCTATAATTTATTACAGCAGAGATATAAAACCAAATCTGGAGCCATCTCACACTGGGTGAGAAACAGAACAATCAAAATCTGCCTGCACAAACCCATTTAGAGAAGTGGGAGGTTTTCTATCCAGACTCAGATCTTCCTAAGGCCCTTGAAGCAGAAGCTATCTGTAAGGAATTTTTGGGTAAATAGGAAGAGCAGTTTATTTTCACTCCAATATGAGACAAAAGGAGGAACAAAGGTCCCCCTTCTTTATGAGCTGTTTGGCCAGTGGTGATGAGCTACTGGCACTGGCTCAAGTTTGCTGTTAACAAAGATCCTCTCTGGCACCAATTGCAACAAACTGCAATGTTTTTAAAAACAAATTTGGCACTGGATGCCAAAGAAAGTTCTTTATCTTTTAGATCACTACAAGCCTTTAAGGCTTTGGACCAAATACTCAAATATGGGTAAGGATTTATTCCAAAGATGGTGTCAAAGGGAATGAGATCTTTGGGAAAACAAAGGTTAAGTGAAGTGTGCCTACAAAGCTTTGTCTTTGCACAAGGTTTTGAGTGCTTATCTGGCTCTAATTCTCTATAAACACTGATACTCACATTTCATATTCTCCCTCATTCTTGCGACTCTTAGTGTATGGGCATCTTCACATAGAAATAAGACATCTAAGTAATGTTGAAAAACATATAGCATTATGTTACTCTGTAGTTAGAGTTCCATAATGCTATATGTCACACATAGCATCAAATACTCTAAGTAACAATACAATACACTCTGTATGTGTTAAATGAGAGACACAGAGCAAAGTAGGCAAAATAAACACTATTGGACAAATAAAGAAGTCAGGGTCTTCCCCTTTCCCTGGTGACATGGAAGATTTTTGCCACAGTTGAGAGCTCAAATGTCTGGATTTCCTCACCAATGCAAGAATTATAGTAGTAGTATTTTTCCTGAAGGCCTTTTCCCCCAATTTTTTTAATTTATATGAAAAATTGGTGAGGATAAATGCATTTAAAATAATTTGGTAGAGATTTGTATAAACAGCCATTACGTTACATGAAAAAGCTATAATCAACCCTTCAGAGTGTTGCAGTGTATTTTAAAGTTGAAGGGAATTGAACCTGAAAAAAACATGTAGTCTATTAAATACAGATTTGTAGGAGGCATACCTCATATGCATCACAAGTTAAGTTTTTTTGAAATGTTGAATAACTTTGGCAGTTAACAGGTCTCAATGTAAAAGCATTTTATGTCCACTCAGCATTTAGTTGTTTTTCTTTGGGATAACTTCTAATATGCTGGCTAGAACTGAATATTTTGGTCTTTTTACAGCAAAAGGCATAAATCTCTAGTTGGGAATGGATTTCAGTTTGGTTTTTAGAAAGCATATTAATATTTTAAATTGTTGAGAAAGGGATGACTATTAATTAAAAGACATAAACTGTTTTCTGGGTCACAGAAGATGAAGATCAATACGATTCTGCCCAAAACTTCATGAAACCTTTCTTTTGCAGATAGCGAGTCATCCTGTTTACCAGAGAGAGAATAAAATCCAGGAATTTGCCTGCACTTATATAATTTCAGTGGATTACAACTTCTAGTTTAGATAAATTAAGTTAAACTCTTCAGTCTAAAAGAAAAGGTCAAAGAATAACCAACACACAGTTAAACATCCATTAATTAAGAACTTTGGTAATAATTAATCAACCACTCTCTCAACTCCAGGAACTTTCTCTAATGTATGTCAGCAATTAAGGATTCCTATAACAGAAATGTTTCATTCCACACTTTTGCTGATAAAGCTGTAAAATGATCATACTTTCACTAACTATCCCTGAATGAGATCTGCACTGAATGAACTCTTGGAAAAGGAGAAAAAGCTCATGACATTTGTACTCAAGGCAGCTAAGTCCCAGTGAGATCATGCTTCTAAAGGTGCCAGGCCAAGCTTCATTTATTTCAGTTTCTCATTTTTGGCATAAAAAAAGGCAAGAAGAGTTTTTATCACTTTGCCATACTCTGCACAAGTCTCCAGACAGAGAACATGGTTTCAGAGTGAGTGGCTGATATTCCACTTAAAATCAAGGAGGGGAGCAGTGAACTTTGAGTGTGTCCAGATATGAGGATGGTGGTTGGACAGAAGCATGAAGAGCTCTATCCTGTCGTCTTTCCTCACAGATTTACTGCCAAAGGGGGAAGAACAGAGTGGTGACAAAAATCTTATTTTATAGAAACAAATGCTGTCTAAATGTTTTCATATCTGTGAGCTCTAATATCTTGTCACAGGATATTAATAATTTGTATCAAAGCGAAAAGGAATTAGTTCATATCTCACTGTTGAGGAAAAAAGCTCAGTATGTAACTCTGCCCCCTGAGGAGTTAAATTCTGGGTGGGGATTTTTTTTTAATGTAGATAAATTCTCAAATAGCCTCCCTGAATAGATTCATATCCCATAATGAGGATTAACATTCCCAAATGTTTATAAAAAGAATAAAGCATATTATATCTGTTCACAGTAGTGGAACATGCTAATTATGCTTCGAGATAACCAAAGATACTTACAGTAAAGTTGGCCAGAGTGTTGATATAAGAATAATGATATTCACTTAGCAAAGGGGCAGAAAGAAAAGAATTTGAAACATCAGTGGTCAGTGCAGAATAGAAATCAACAAAAATATTATTCCCAAGTGACTTTATTTTATTTTACTCACTTTTTATTCTACTAATTGACTTGCAAATAAATGAAAATACATCAAAACACATTGAGAAAATTTAAAGTACAGAAGGAAAACACTGAAATATTTCAAAATATCATTTGTCTACATTCAAAATGGTTGAACAATGGAACAGTGCTCCTGCCAGCTTCCCTTGCCACTGTATGTTTCCAATTCTAGCTTCCAAGGGCAGAAGGGAGTAAGGAATCCAAGGCTCACATCAGCTCAGACTCCAGCCTCTCCAGTTGTCAGTTTGCCAATCACTTGTGGTTTCTACAATGTACGGAGTTCTCTGGCAGGATTATGACCTAACCCACCTTTCTCCCACAGACCACTGAGTAGCCTCCAAATGCCACTTTCAGTCATTACATAATGACTCAAACCAATGCAAAATCCAGTTTCTAAAGGTCAAAAAAACCCAAAAAACTTCAAGGTTTATGCTGCTATTGAAAACTTATAGTTTACATGCTATATTTTTCCCTTAACATTTTCTCTTCTGAAACTCCCCAAAAAGCCAGGGAGATATTATTCCTCAATAATATAGTGGAGATATAGAAATCAAATGTCTACAAATGTGAGGTGCTCTAAACATCTGTAACCATGCTGAAATTCAGTGAGAAACAGTTATATGACCCCAAGTCTCCTCATACAGTGTGAGCCTTATGGGTGAAGAGGGGGGAGAAAATGGTACTTAGTGTATTTTTCTTAAATATAAATATGGCCTTAGAGTTCATGCACAAAACACCTACAAAAACTCCATTACCTCAGTCATGCAAGTTCTAATATCCTGTGCCACGTGTTGCGACATGAAGTGACTAATATATATTACATATGTATATATATGGCTTTTACTCCACCTCTCGGTAGTTGTCGCTGATTCGATCCAAACTGAGGGAATACAAGAGGTCTCTTCCTCCCACGAACAGTCGCTCTTGATACTCATCCAGCAGCATTACATGAAGTCCAAGATATCCAAACGGGCTACGAAAGACTGACGTCCTGTTTAAATCCCAGAGCTCTGAAATACAATCAGAGTGTTCGTGATAAATACCAAACAGCTTAGCTTTCATGGCTTCATTTTCATATCCTCCTAGGGAACTGGGCGAGAAGTTGTGGGACATTAAAATGCTGAACATATAACCTTTGAGTAAGAAAGAGACACGAAACACCTGGGAACAATTTTCAAACTAAGCCAGTTCTCAGGGAAGTTTGTCTCTGAGTCTTTCCATCATAATCTTTATGCCTAAAGTATGAGATAGGGAGAGATGAAAATTAGTTTTCTCCTGGAAATTTTCTGAAAAGGAAAAAGAATAAATACTGCAAATGGAGAGAAAAAAAATTATGAATTAATGGAAATTGGGAAAAAAACCCCTGGAAATTGTGTCCTTGTCTTTCAGGTATATCAAACTCCAGGTTTTCAGTGAACACACCATTTTTACCTGGGTTTGTATTTTTAGGAGGATGGCATTGTGGGTTTTAAGCTTAGCATTGTCTTCACTCAGTTCACTGAATGTATTGCTTCTAAATTCAGTGAAAACAGTATGAAATCTGTGAAATGCATATGAATAATTTTCCAACACTGATTTTGTCAAGAAATGCACTGACCTGATATGGGAATCTGAGGTTTAGCGGTACGTGATCTAGGCTAAAGCCAGTTCCACTGAGAAAAGGAAATTCATTCTGGGTAATGTTGCCGAAACGTGGATTTAGGCCTCAGGAAGCAAGAAAGAGGCAAAACATGGGGATCTCTCTGCACTGTGCTGCAGAGCACAACCTGGTTAGGAACAGGTCAGAAAGGCTGAAAATAATTTTGTTGTTGAGAAGCCTCCAAAGGAGTCATTTGAGAGAGTACCCTCGGACTCGGTTCACAACGACAGAGCTCGGTCTGGGGGAAAGCAACAATGTTCTTATCCCTGTACTGTGGCAAATTGTTTTATTTTTAAGAAATCACTTTTGGTAAAACTCATTAAATGTGCTTATCCTCACAGCTTTCCATAAGCATAATTTTTTCAACTGTTTGGTTGTGGTCCTGAAGCTGATGTTGGAAGAAGTGAGACTGTCCCTGAGCTAGAAAAGACAAATGAGCACCCATCCAGTTTGGAGCTCCTGCTCACATGCCACACCAGCAGTTATGTTCATTTGTCCATGCTGCACCTTAACAGCAACATAGAAACCACATTTGATGTTCTGTTAGCAAGAAATTTAATGTTCAAAAAGGGTATTAAAATAATCCAACAAATTGACAACATTTCTATTATTTTTCAATTATTAAGTATATGGTCTGTGTGATTTCAGTAATAGAATAAATATGTTTTATTCCATTTACTTGGTAGGCCGAGTTCAGGTCAATAGAGGCCAAAAGTAACTCATTTCTGAAAGTTATTTCCTTAGATGATAAAATTTACATCAAAGGAGCTATAGTAAAAATTCAGCCTCACATATGATGGCTTTCTCGAGTGATCTTCAAGCAGAAATTATTAAATAGTTGTACCTGTGTGAGACTGGCCTCACTTAACAAATGGAAAACTAAGTCACAGAGAGGAACATCATGATGAAGAGAACAAGAGACTTTTTTGTCTAAGCATTGCATACTAACCAGTGGATAGATACACATTTTTTGACAGTGATACACAGCACACAGCTGCACAGCAATGTGGAAATGGCACTTTCAAAGCTTGCTCTTGCCAAGCAAATGAGCAGATTGCTGTTTTGGAAGAACATCGCTTGTTTCTGAACAGATTAGAAATGAAATGAAAGCAGAGCTAGAAATACACTTTTGGTCCTAAATAAAGCCAGTTTTTATTTGCAAAAATATAAATCATTCAGTACATATTATTTTTTAATCAGACTTGGAGTGAAAAGAATTGCATTTTAAATTCTAGTTGTATACAAGCAACAAAAGGTTACTGTGGTAGCTTCCCCTGATTTATTTTCATGTTGTCCTGAAGGCAAATTGTTCATAAATGAGACAATATTTCTTTAGATAGATCAGAGATATGACTCATGTGTTCTCATAATGATGAACAATTCTCTATCCGATCACATAAACTGATAACTTCTCGTAAAAGAGTCAGCCCTGCAAAGCACACCTGCAAATCTTATTGTCTTAAATGGAAGTTGAGAATATGAAACATCTTTCAAGACAGAACTTGTAAAAAGAGGTCTTCCTAAGACTACATCCAGCAAACTACACAGACATGGGGTTTCTGTGGGGGGTAGAGACAAGAATAGAAGTGAACACTGCATCTGAAAGGGCTAGAAAACAGCAAGCAGGTGGGTTTGGAGAGTGATTTTGTACTGAATCACAAATGTAGCAATAGTAGGTAGATCCTTTGATAGGTAGTAGAATTTCCATACTTTGTAGGATACATGAGATATTAGGATAATGCAGCACCTCCTGAATGCCTGGAGAATGAGTGGTATATCTGGGAGACTGAAACAGTACTAGAAACTTGCCATTTCTAGGCAAGTAAATCTCACTATGGTGTGGTTTATTGTAAATGACACAGGTTCTGAAGCAGTAGAATATAATTTTTGTTGTGCTATGCCCCTTCAGCAAAGCTGGTTGGCTTCAATGCAGCCCTGCAGGAATGCAGCTGTACTGCATCTGGACGAGCTGCTGCCTCCACACATAGCACAGCTTTCATGCTCACACAAATGCATTGCTAGCTCTTAGAATCATGGAATGGTTTGGATTGGAAGGGACCTTAAAGATATCTGGTTCCAACCCTTCTGCCACAGTTTCTCCAAGCCCAGGTTTTTCCAAGCCCTGTTCAACCTGGCCTTCAATACTTTCAGAGATGGGGCACCCGCATCTTCTCTGGACAGCATGCCATTGTCTCAACACCCTCACAATAAAAGATTTCTTACGTCTCATCTCAACTTTTGCTCTTACAGTTTAGAGCTATTACCCCTTGTTAGAACAAGGGTAATACCCTTGTGAAAAGGTCCACTCCAGCTCTCTTTTAAACCCTTTAAATACTGAAAGCTGCTATAAGATCTTCCTAAAGGTTTCTCTTCTCCAGGCTGAACAGTCCCAGCTCTCTCAGCCTGTCTTTATACTAGAGGTGCTCCAGTCCTCTGATCAGCTTTGTGGCATCCTCTGGACTTGCTCCAAACAGGCCCACATCCTTCTTATGTGGGGGACCCCAGAGCTGGGGTTTTGAGCAAATTTCCCCAAAATTTACCTTCAGTTACCTTGAAGAAGGTTATGCACACAAGGATACCTTGAGGTGTCTAAAGTTGCATTCCTGGTCCTGCTGATACTCTTTAATTAAAAAATAAATTTGTAGACAATGTCTAAACTTGAGCATAATATAGAAAGATGGTGTTCCTTGACCTAATATTAGGATTTAATGTCCATATTTATGCTGGGCACATCTAGCACACTTACAAGATCAGGTACAAGCACAATTTGCTTCAACAACCTGGCCACAGAAAATATAGTGCTACCTAAAATTTTTAAAATATACTAATGGCTAAATCAGTCACCTGAGGAATAGCAAACATGAGGTCAATTTACTTTTCTAAATGGATTGAAACTCAGGTTTTTCTCCTTCCATAACAAGGTCTGATCACAAGTTATTAGCTACTAGATTGGTAGGGAAGGATGGATGCTTTCTCCATTTCCTGTTGAAGCTGTGCAACAAAATATACAACTATTTAATATTTAATAAATTATACAAACTGTTTCAGCACATGGGTTAGAAACCCTCGGCTTCTCCCTCATGTGGGAGTGATTAAGGGTTTCAGTTAAGCAAAACCCTTCCTTTTACTGAGTTTCTATAGATTTCTGTGACCAAAAAAAAAAAACCAAAACCACAAAAAGGCAAAACAAACAAACAAACAAACAAAAAGACCACCTAAAAAAGTTACTTCTTCTGTAAAGATCTTGCATAAAGAAGCAAAAAGCCAGAGACACAGAGGATGAATTATTCAGGGTGAATATATTGCTAGTACTCAGCACATAGGAAAAAAAGAGAAAACACCTTTCCTACTCTTATCTTTTGGTAAAAACAAATCTTCTGAAGTACTGATCCATAAATTTGAGACAATGTTGTATTTTGTGCTATAGTGCTTTTCCACTTTAATCTAAAGACTCAAGACCATAACTAAACCCACCCCACTGCAGCACAAACAGCATTTTACTCAACAAGGGAAAGACGACTTCAATATTTACATACTCCTATATGGCACTTCACTTTACCTCTGAAAGCTTTAAAGCAAGTCTGCACTGCTGAATTACATTTCATAAGAGAAAAAATCTTATTTCTTTCTGTTTTAAAAGCTGAGAACAAACCTGATGGTTTGCTATCTGTCTGACAGAGCTCGCTGGCAAATGTTCAGACTGGTCTTGCTTACCACACTATCTCTTATTGCAGATCTACTTTGGTGAATGTATTCATACTGTATCCTGTTTGACAAAATGGATTCTATTACACATTGATCTAAAAATGTTTGTTATATTCCTAATGGGCAATTTCTTGGATATTTTAATAATCAGTATATAATTTTAATTTCTAAGATTATTTTAGAACAGTAATTTCTTCAATTAGAAAAAGTCACTCCATTTTTATTTAATTTTTTAATATAAATTATTGATAATTTAATTATGCTTAGAAAATCAAATGTAAAAATCTCAATGCTGCTCCACAGCAACCAGACTATAGTGACATTTCATTTTTAACACATTCTCAGAATTTAAGCACATTTTGAGTCATATATAATTTTGGTCCTTGAATATAAACAAATATCACTGCAAATTTTTAATATTTTTTTCTTTTTCTCAGGGAGTGACAAAGCTGCTGTTGCTCTGCTCTGCTCTTCATAGCATTACATCATCACAACTGCACAAGTCCATAGCCTTTGCCCTTTTTTGCCCTCATAAATATCTTTGGCTCCCATTTTAAATTCTTCAGAAATATAGTCTCACCTCCCACACTACTTCATGCTGCAGATCATTCTTCCAGCAAAGATGTTTTCCAGATGCAGGGCACTGACAAATGAGCCCACATAAGG